CCGGAGATAAATCGTACAGCTTGATTTTGAATTTTGTCAAGAGACCTCTGAGTTGGTTTGCTGCAGATTGTCTGTAAGGTTAGGTTATATTCCATGGCAGATCGTACATAGCCAACACTGCACTAGAAAGGGTGTGTATCAAAGAAGTGAGAACATTGCTTTACACCATATACAGCACCGTAGAGATACCAGAAGATCTGAAGAAGTCGATATTTATTGCATTTCGACCCAACAAAATTTAAGCTGGAACAACAGAATGTGAGCAGCACATGACAATCAGTCTTATGAAGCATCTTACTAAAGTCCACCTGCGTGTACTAATGGAAAGAATGAGAAATTGAATACTTCCTGAAATTTCTGAAACGCAGTTTCGGTATCATCTCACTGCACACCAAGATTCGACTCTTCAAATACTTTGATTCCATTGAAAAGTCTGTGCTCCTCTACGGCTGCAAAACTTTGAAGACAACAAAAACAGTGCTAAATAAAGTCTAGACTTTCATCAACAGGTGTATGAGGAGTATCCTAAGAATTAAGTGGCAGGATAGAATAAGAAATGAAGAGCTGTGGGAAAGGACAGGACAGGACAGGACAAAAAGGTATAGAAATAGAAATAGGACTAAGAAAGTGGCGATGGATTGGCCACAATCAGAAAACCCAGCGGAAACATCACAATAGAGTCGCTGCAGTGGAACCCACAGGGAGCACGAGGCAGGGGTAGGCCACGGGAAACATGGAGGAGATGTGTGGAAAGGGACATGAGAGAGATGAAACTCACTTGGAATGAGCTTGGGGGGACGGCCCAGGACAGAGATAAATGGAAGGAGCTTGTATGTGGCCTATACCCCGCCAAGGGTGAAAGGCATTGATGATGATGGATTTCGGTTTTCTGCAAATAACGGTCCCCAAAATGTCCCCTTCGCCCAAAGATGCTCATGGAAAGATGAACTGAGGTCTAGAAAGACCTTTGCCTCTACTTTATCAATAACTCTAAATCATTTGTCAAAGTGAGACATACAGAACGATCAACATCCTAACAGACCCGAACATAGATGGAAAAGACCTAAGAATCCTGAGAAGCCTCTTTTGGGAACTACAGACAGCAGTCAGGGTCGAGAACAAGCTCAGTGAATACCTGACAATCTGTAGAGAAGAACGACAAGGATGTGTCTTATCTCCAGATCTCCTTGATTTATACGACGAAATGATACTGCGTAACATCCGTGATATACAAAGAATCAAGGTAGGCGGTAACAATATTACCAACCTACGGTACGTTGATGACACAGTCTTGATAGCTGATTCTGACTCTAAGCTCCCAGAGATTCTAACTAGAGTGACAGGAAAAAGCGAAGAAAAAGGCCTACTACAGAATACCTAGAAAACGAAATGTATGGTGATATCAAAACGTGATAGTATG